TTTTAATCATGCCTCACTTTCTTCTACACTGCCTACTTTTCACCTGTATGTCAGCTACTCCACCTGGGAAAACAAGATTTTGGATGAGCTTTACACTAATGTCGAGGATGCATGTGTCTCCAAACTAAGGCCTCCTCCACACGTTTGCGCAGTGTGAAGGAAAGAGGAGACCAGCTGCACAGGCAGGCTGCGAAATGAGATGCAGGTGATCGGTTTGTGTGATTGGCAACAAAAGACCGTGATCGGAGATCATCGATCATACACTTTTTCACGGAAATCGTCCGATTATGATCGGTGGCCGATCGATCGGCACACCTCTAAAAATTTGTTACCATGACATATCTCTATATTACAATGTCACCAGGTGTGTCTAAGCCCATCCATGCACAGAAGAGATGCTTAGAATAAATAATTGTGTAGATGTGCCATAACCTTCTTCAGCTGAAGAAAAACAAAAAGTGAAGTTATTTTTAGACCTAAAAAAAGAATGGTCTAGAGAAGAGGTGTCAAACTCCAGTCCTGGGGGGCCGCTGTCCTGCAACATTTAGATGTGCCTCTGCTGCACCACACCTGAATATAATAATTAAGTCATTAGCAAGGCTCTGGAGAACTTATCCGCACAATAAGGAAGTAACTAAGCCATTTGATTCCAGTGTTTTGTGCCTGTGGCTCATCTAAAAACTGCAGGACAGGACTAAAAACTGTGGCCCTCCAGGACTGGAGTTTGACACCCCTGGTCTAGAGTCAGCACACAGCTTCAGTTATTGCAGCTAGAAACTAGAAATCTGGGTGGAATGTTGAGATATGGCCTGAAGCTTCAGACACATAAAGACAGTTACAAAGTCGGCCTTCTGTCACTTGACAGACATTTTCAGGATTAAAGGACTAATGTCGCAACAAGGTCTAGAGAAACTCCCCCATGCATTTAAGGTTAGTCCCATTGATGACTGCAACAGTGTCTGTACAGTTCTGACTAAAAGGTCAATCCTCCAGCTGCAGCTGATCCAGAACGCTGCTGCTGGTATTCTCACTAAAACCACAAGGATTGAGCACATCACCCCAGTTTTAAAGTCCTTACAATGGCTCCCTGTCGCTCAGAAAATAGACTTTCAAGATTTCTGTTGGTTGATAGACCGACTGAAAGGCTTGGCATCCAAGCTACGTCAATGACTTGTTGTTGTGTCAACCTTGCAGACCACTCAGATCTTCTGGTTCTGCTCTGCATCCCCAGAACCAGAACCAAACATGAAGAAGCAGCTTTCAGCTTCTGTGCACCTCAAATCTGGAACAAACTTCCAGAAAACTGCAAAACAGCAGAAACACTGAGTTCCTTTAAAACAAGGATAAACGCCCAGCTGTTTAAAACTTCTTTGGACCAGTAATCACTGGAACACTGACCAACATGTTCGATGTGTTTTGATGATTTTTAATGATGGAACTTGACTAAATGTAATATCTGTTTCTGGTTTCACAATTGGTGACAGCATGATGTGTTTATGATGGTTTTCTGCTTTCATGATGTAAAGCACTTTGAACATCCTCATTGCTGAAATGTGCTGTACAAATAAACTTTATTGATTGATTAATCAATAACTTATTGATTCTATTTTTTTTTTCAGCTGAAGAAGTGGAAGCATCAACACACCATCTCTCATCTCTGTTTTTGGTGTGTTTGGGGTTGCTTTGTGTCATACTGACTGCAAACATCGTCTACAGTGAGTTTCATTTCAACAGAATATATTTTAAGTTGCTTCCTTTATAACAAGTATTTAGAGGTTTAAAGCTTTGGGATGCAAGTGTTCAGCAGTAAGAGGAGATGTGAGGGTTGATAAAAAGTCAGGGACACTGAAGTGTTACCAAGAATCAGTTCAACTTAATGCTGCCCAGCTTGAAACCTGTCAAGGTGTTAAAGTTTTTATGGAAGAGCTAAAGGCGTAGTTGAGGAGAGGAGGATGTCTGGCTTGTGAACTGCAGGAATTTAACTTTGCTTTTTGTAGATATGGGCCGTGGTTCCCACCAGGGACTGGAGTGGTTTGATGCTGAGTGTGAAGCAGCTGGATAGATGGTAATGTCCTCTAAGTCAGAGGCTACGATTGTTTACTGAGCCCCTCTGAGTAGTCTCTGCCTTAAGTGGAGGAGTTTAACCCCTTAACCCGCACTGGAACACCCATGTGTCGTTTTTCCATTATATTTACCAGGGGTGAGATTTTAGGGTTTAAACTCTGCCGGTGTCCATTATGACGCTTTTATTGGGCAGCCTAGAGCCCCCTCACCCTCCTTTTGATTGACACAGCATTCGACCAATAATGTTATGAAATGGCTTTTTCCGAGCCAATAATATCCAGAGAGCGACTTGAGCTCGTTTTGACATGCCTGTATTCTTTCTGGAATATTTCTGACTGGTCAACTCGGAGTCTAAATCTAAAGCCACAGATGTGTAGCCAACATGTGTCCTGTCACAAAGACGTAAGGCATTTTGGAGTTTGATTTGACATGAATCCACCAGCTGCATGCGTAACCATGCACAATATGTCCGCCTTTGCTACGTCAGAGTCAGACTCTGTGCCCTCCTGGGGAATATGGGGGACAGTATCTGGGACCTGCCTGTTGTGTTCCTTGGTCTTCATGATGCTCTCTGCGCTTTAAACACAACCCTGAGACGATCGCAGAGCAGGTACATTTGTACCGAGACTTGATTACACACAGGTGGATTCTGTTTTTCATCATCAGTCATTTAGGACAACATTGGATCATTCAGAGATCCTTGTTGAACCTCTGTAGTGAGTTTGCTGCACTGAAAGTAAAGGGACCGAATAATATTGCACGCCCCACTTTGCAGTATTTTTACTTGATAAAAAAGTTTTAAATATCAAATTCATTTTGTTCCACCTCATGATTGTGTCCCACTTGTTGATTATTCACAAAATAATAAAAATTTTACATCTTTATGTTTGAAGCCAGAAAAGGCAAAAGGTTGAAAAGCTCCAGGGGGCCGAATACTTTCACAAGGCTCCTTCACCCGTCCTCCCCTTCCTGTTATCCATGCAGCTGTGGAGCTGAGCGCTCCCAAGGACATGCCTTGATAATAACATCTTATCGGACTTCTGCCGGGAGGCTGAGCAACGTGGTTTCATGGTCCCTGATGTCACCGCCTTCACTCATGTCTTTGTTTTGTCTGAATATTACTATGTGTGCTAATGTGTCCTTTCCTCTTTTAATTTCATTCCCCTTTTGTTATTTAGAAACTGTGGAGTACTGACTTTCAACCCAGAAAAGGAATTAGAACAAACTTAGAATCCAGAGAAACAACTTTAATTTGTGGAGTACTCACTTTTTAGAACAGCACTGTCTGGTGGATGTTGAGCAGAGCTACGTCTGTGAAATATCACTACCAGCAGCGCGTAGCGGCGGTTCAAGAGCGAGAACAGAACCAGCGTCTTACACCGCCAGCCCGAAGACTTGAATTATTTTTCGGGTTATTTGTTTAGCTTTCTGACCGTGACCGAGTGAGTGTTGGTAGCTGTGCTGCTTTACCTGCTGTCTGGCCGGTCCGGATGTCCTTTTTTCCTGCTTTGAGCCTCGATGTAGCCAAACTCCGTCAAGCACTTGTTTTTTAAATGTCATATTAGATTTGTTGTGTTGGTGCATTTTGACGTGCTTCACACCTGAGGTAATTTTCCGCCGCAACACGCAAACGTCCTCTTTCACTCAGAGCGTTAAAGTTCCACAGGACCGGATTTTTTGCCGCGCGCTGTGCAGTGTGAAGGAAAGAGGAGATGAGCTGCACACGCAGGCTGCGAAGTGAGATACAGGTGATTGAGTTTGGTGATCGGCAACAAGAAACAGTGATCGGCGATCACCGATCATACACTTTTTCACAGAAATCGACCGATTTTTACACCTCTACTTTTTAGATTATTCTAGTTTATCAGTATTTTAGAAATTGTGAAATACCCACTATTTAGACCAATATCATACTTTTTAGATTACTTTTTAGTTTACTATGCAGAGACTCCTATTCTTCCAAACCAGAAAAAGAATTAGACCAGAGGATACTTGCTTATACTTATCTAGCAACCCTGAATAAGAGTATCTAGTTTTATATACTTTGGATCAACATTATTAGATCTTTTTCTTTCTTCTTTTGCTCTTTCCTTTGGTTTGTTATTTTGTTTGTATTTCCTTTTAATTCATGCGAAGCACTTTGAATTGCCTTGTTGCTGAAAATGTGCTACATAAATAAAATTAGTTTACCTTACCTTACCTACACCTTTTACAGTTTGCCAGTCCATCACAGGGCAACACAGATCCATGCACACACTCATACCTGGGGGCAATATAGTGAGACCAGTTAGCCTAATAGTAATGTGTTTGGTCTCTGAGAGAAAGCAGGACTACCTATCCTAAGAATATGTTCTAAGGGTTTGAGAGAGAAACTGAAACATTTTTGATTCAATGACTTTCTGACTAATTTGTGTGTTTTTATAGTGAGTCTGACGACGACCAGTCGGGAGGAAAATATCACAAGACTTGCAACAGTAAAAAAGCAACTGATTGAGGAACAAAAAATGATGGAGAGAAAGTTTGAGGAGATGAACCGAGACAGACACCTGAGCGAAGTAAAATCGAGGCTTACCCAAGAGAGGCTTACTCAAGACAGAGGGAAGCTGAACAATAAGACAGAGGAGCTTAACAAAGAGAGAGACGAGCTGAGCAAAGAGAAAGAGGAGGTGAACAAACAAAAAGAGGAACTGAGCCAAGACAGAAACAAGCTGAAGTATGAGACAGAGAAGCTGAAAAAAGAGAGAGATGAGATGAGCAAAAAGAAAGAGGAACTGAGCAAAGCGAAAGAGGAGCTTAGCAAAAAGAAAGAAGAGCTGAGCAAAGAGAAAGATAAGCTGAGCAAAGATAAAAGGGAGCTGAGTAAAGAGAAAGAGGAGCTGAGTAAAAATACAAAAGAGACAAGCAAAGGGAATGAGGATCTCAGAAAAGAGAAAGAGAAACTGAGTAATGAGAAAAAGGAGCTGATGAAAGAGAAAGATAAGCTGAATAAAAACAAAGCAAAGCTGAGCAAAGAGAAAGAAGAACTTAGCAAAGACAAAAAAGAGCTGAGCAAAGACAAAGACAAACTAAACAAAGAAAAAGACAATTTAAGCGACGACAAAAAGAAGGTGAGCAAAGATAAAACGGAAATTAACAAAGAGAAAGATGACCTAAACAATTTAAAAATGGAGCTGGCCAAAAAGGAAAATGAGCTGAACAAAAAGACAGAGGAGTGGAAGGAAGAGATGGATGAGCTGAATAAAAAGAAAGAACAGCTAAGCAAAAACACAAAGGAACTGAACAAAGAAAAAGAGAAGCTGAGCAAAAGGAAAGATGAGTTGAAAAAATTGAAAGCAGAACTGAGCCAAGAAAAAAAGGGGGTGACAAAGGAAATTAACAAAGAGAATGAGGAGCTGAACAAAATCAAAGATGATCTGAGCAAAAAGAGAGCAGAGCTGAGCAAAACAACCGATGAGCTGAGCAAAGAGAAAGCAGAGCTGAACAAAGAGAAAGACGAGTTCAGCAAACAGAAAAGGGAGCTGAGCAAAGAGAAAGACAAACTGAACAAAGAGAAAGATGAACTGAACAAATACAAAGACAAGCTGAGCAAAGAAAAAAAGGAGCTGAGCAAAGAAAATGATGAACTGAACACATACAAAGACAAGCTGAGCAAAGAAAAAAAGGAGCTGAACAAAAAGAACATAGAACTGAGCAATAAGAGAAAGGAGCTGGACAAAGAGAAAGATGAACTGAACAAAAGAAAAGGCAACCAGGACAAAATGAAAGCAGAGCTGAGCAGGAAGACAGAGAAGTTGAACAAAGAGAAAGAGGATCTGAATAAAAAGAAATTGGAGCTGAACAAAGAGAAAGAAGAGCTGAAAAAAGTGGATCTGAGCAAAGAGAAAACGAAGCTGAACACAGAGAAACAGGAGCTGAACAAAAAGAAAGTAGATTTGAGCAAAGAGACAGCGGGGCTGAACAAAGAGAAACAGGAGTTTAGTAAAAAGAAAGCGGATCTGAACAAAGCGAAAACAGATCTAAACAAAAAGAAAGAGGAGCTAAAGAAAGAGACAGTGAATCTGAGCAAAAAGACAGAGCAGCTGAACAAAGAGAAAGCGGATCTGAACAAAGTGAAAGCAGATCAGAACAAAATGAAAGCGGAGCTGAACAAAATGAAAGTGGATCTGAGCAAAGAGAAAGCGGAGCTGAATGAAGAGAAACAGAAGCTGAGCGTATTAAGAAAGGAGTCAGAGAATCGATGCAAAGATAGAAATGCTCTTAAGACCTTCTACGACTACGTCATGAAATTTAAAACATTTCCAGTTTCAGAGTTCTGTCCTCCAGATAGTAATTATATTTCTAGATTACCTTTGAAACTCTTGATTACTCATTTTATTTTTGAAATATTCTGTTATAAACAGTTTTTCAAGACATAGCTGACCATTATTATCACAGGTAGAGTGCTGAAGGTCACTTTTCTGACCACAAAGTGAGCCAGTAAAATGAAGTCATTAGCAACAGGTTTACAGCCAAGTTTTAATTTCAGAGAATATTGTTTTTGTTTTTTAGTGAACCCTGTGGTATGCCACTTCTGACTAGAATATCGTAATTTAATCACCTTCCAATATTGATCTGCACTCTACCTTTAAAAGCTTTGCTTGAGTAATTTTGATGATTGAAATGTTAAATAAGTCCACATGGATTTCTTCTAGAAATAAATTTTTTTCTTTTTGAGATTTTACCAAAGTTTCACTTTATTCTGCTCTTTCCCCTTGTCTAGTGAGACCAAAGTGTCTGGTTTGCAGAGCAAAGGAACCTTTATACAAGGGACACTGCTACTTCATTCAGGATGATTTAAAAAGTTCGATGACCTGGGATCTAAGTCGAAAGTTGTGCCATGTATTTGGTTCAGATTTGGTTGTAATTGATGATCTGCAGGAGCAGGTAAAACAAAACGCCACCACGACTCTTGAAGTTTAAAACTAGTCTGGAAGTTTCTGGAAGACTGATAGCTTGATAATACTGTATCACACGTACTACATGAATCAGCATCTCCTAATTACAATTTTTTAAGTCACAATAGAAAACACAAAAGAGGAGGAGGTGTGACTTTGTAGATTTGTGTTTCTATAATGTAAAGCACTTTGAAGTGCTTTGTTGTTGAAATGTGTTGTACAAATAAACTTGATTGATTGATAGCCTGATGTAAGAAAGATTTATGACAGTCTAAAATAAAATCTGTTCACAGGAATTTATCACCCTTCAAATCAAATACTACGAAACTTGGAAAAGATTCTGGATTGGGTTATATCATACACCAGGCGGATGGGTCTGGGTTGATGGACGTAAGAACACCCTTGAGTAAGAACTATTATCTAAAAATATTATTTAAAGCTGCAGTATGTAACTGTTGTTGGAAATATTTTTTCATATTTGTTGAAACTGTTGTCATGTCCTAACATGGTATCAGACAGATGTGAAAAATTGGGCTCCTCTGCCTTCTCCCAATGCTCTGAGTGCTAACTGGAAACAACCAATCCGAGCCCAGGGGCGGGTCTTAGCGCTGTCAGTCACAATCTAGTGTGGACGCTGGTCAGCCTCTTCTTCTTAGGGGGTGGTGCATTTCTTCAGAGTGCAATATGTCAGGGAGGAGGTGGAAGAGGGTCGATCACAACTGTCACAACATGGTGACAGTTTTAGCAAAGATGTAAAAAAAAAATTTGTTTATAAAGGTTACATAGGTAGAAATGTAAATATATTTAAATAGATTTTCCACAAGCTTGTAGAAGAGTAAAATATACTGAGTGACAACGACTCCAGGATCTCCCAGGACTTCTTCTAAAACCAAACCGTGGTGGACTGAGACATGTTATGTACCGCTACTCTCACCCTAGCTCATTATTTTTTGTCTTCCTTTTTGTTGGACTGGGAGTAGGGCTGCAGCAATAGATACATATGATTGTACAAACAAAAACGAAAGGGGGAAAAACAAAATGGGCAGCTAAAGGAATGCACAACGTGGTGAGGCTTACCTTAAGAGTCCATTCACACCCGCTGACATCCCGTAGAGAAGGGCCAGCCTACACCATCCTTCGTCCATCAGACGCTCAGCTCAATAATTTTTTTTCTTTAACATGTAGTTGTTTCTCTTCTTTTCCTAAAACACACTAAATATAATTCCGGCTTTTGCCAAAAGTCAAAACAACAAAAAACAAACTTCAGCCTGGCCAAAACATCCGACGCTCTCCTCTGGGCTGATCCATCCTGGGGTGAAGGTTCTCTTCTTTCTTCTAGCACAGGGGTGTCCAAAGTCGGTCCTCGAGGGTTGGCAACCTGCAAGTTTTAGTTCTCTCCCTGGTTTAACGCACCTGGATCAAATGATGGCTCGTTAGAAGCCTAAGAAGAACATTGACTTGCTGAGAAGATTGTTACTACCACCAGGGAGAGATCTATAACGTGCAGGATGCCGGCCCTCGAGGACCAACTTTGGGCTCCCTTGTTCTAGAACCTTCCCGCACCGTAGTGTTAGTTATTTTTCTTAACAAAAGTTCACTGCTGCTGCAGCTGCAGCAGCTCCAAACACCAGCATTTTTGCTTTTAAGACCAGCGCAGTTTTAAAAGCATCCAGGACTAGTTAAACATGTTGGCCTAAATATGTTGCAATTTTCCTATTACCTAAAGAAATTGCTGTTTGTGATAAGCCATAATTACTTTAAAAATCTACATCTTTTGTTATATTTTTCACCCATGGAGGTCGCCATTTTTTCACCGCTGGGTTGACTACGCATTTTGGTCCATTCTGTACTGGAGTCTACAGAGTAAACAGAGGAAGGCTAACTTTACCCCAGTAGTTGTTTATCATAGTGCGTTTGACTGGTGTCATTTTAGATAATGCCACACTGTGTCACTATCGGCTGTGATAAAAAAATATAAAAACAAATAAAAAATGAGACCGGATCTGGATAATTTCCCACATAAACAAGGGAGAGTGCTGCGCAAGAGGCGGAGAGGAACACAACGGAGGACCTAATCTGGACCCTGGACATTTCTCCACAACACTCATTTGTACCAGTAGAACCAACAAAGGCTCTAATAGGTGATCGTTACCTTAACAAGCTGGATGCTTTTTGAGATGGGAGATATACTGCCTGCGCCACTGACATCACCAATCCGATGGGATCCATGGAGGTTCGGGTCGGTGGTAACAATCCGGTGTGGCTGTTACCACCACACTGGACTCTACACAACACAGCTGGTGCTGAACCGGATACAGCGCTACAGACAAGCAGCGTTAATGGCGCTGGAACACCGGTACTGTGAAACCACTACCAACACCAAACAAAGTTGAGACCCTGAACTTCTGTTGCCTAACCGGACACAGAGCTCCAGAAGTTCTTCCTTATATCACACAGTCCGACCAGAGGTACATGTCATTCATTGTTTCATTATGAAGCTGAATGCATCAACAGCAGCCTCTACGGCCAACTCTGTCCTCTTCCTCTGTTTGCTCCTTCTCATCTTCATCACCTCTTGTTATTTCTACGGTCCAATTGATTTCAGTGCACTCCGGTTCAAATTAAAAAGGCTTAATAACAGCACTCATCACTGTTTTGGCTGGAGGAACCAGGCAGTTGGACCATTACATGTCATTTACCCAGAATGCATTGCAGCGTGAACAACATGGCGACATTCCTGTGAAAATATTTTCTTAAAATTTATAAAAACTAAATAACCTACAGTATTTTTACTGTACTGTTTTTACTTTTAAGATAAATATTTCCCAAATAAGATCTACTTTCATGACTAATCGTGGTTCCCTTTAAAGCTTGGGCTGGCTATGACCCGCCACCCCCAGTTAACCTTCAAATGTGCCATTAATAAAAATAAAAACAAATAATCAGGAGACGGAAGGAAATGTGAGCATGTTACAGATTGGGTTCATTGTTCTGTTTGGACGTCCAATGATGTCAAAGCTTACTGGGCTTCTTCTTTTCAGCACGAGCTTCAGACGTCTGATCAGGCTCAAGAACTTCCAGTTTTGGAAAAACAAAAAACGTTCTTTATCTCCCTATTATAGCTATGAGCAAACTGCAGCTGGGTTTTCTTGTGCCTTTGGGTCAGTGGTGCTGCAGGTGGTTGAGTTCAGGCATGGAGACCTTCAGTCCTCAGTCTGTCCTCACTGTGGGACCTGAAACCTCTGTGGCTGATGCCACCAAGCCTTGCTGCAGGTCTTTTGCAGTCAGT